TTCTCCTGCTCTTCTGGCCTGCTTCTTTGGGCGTCCCTGAGTTTCCCCTCCTCACCTAATCCCTTCGGCTGATTGCTCTTCTCTTTGGCTTCCTGGGTTTTATCCCCTTTCTCCTGCTCTTCCGGCCTGCTATGAGTCAGAATTAATTGACGGCACCCAATAACAACATGGACGGGACAGCCACAAGATCTGAGTGTCCAGTTGCTGTCTGGACACCTGTAGCCCCCTGAGTTGGCACGGACCACAGGGTCTGCTTCCAATCCTGCTCCCCATCCTTGCCTTGCCCCCCACATCCTATCACAGATATTACTGCACTCACTGTTATGGATTGAATTGTGTACTCCCCCCCAAAAAAATGTGTTGTAATCAACTTGACAGCAACTGGATGCCTGTGGGTATAATCCCATTTGGGACCAGGTGTTTCTTTGTTATGTTATTGAGGCCATGTCAATGTAAAGTGTCTTAACTTTGACCGCTTTAAGATATAAGAAGAGCAGGGGAAGCTAGGTGCCACAAGGAAATCTCCAAGGAACTTGGAGAAGAGAAGCTGGGACAGGATCTTCCCCCAGAGCCAACAGAGCCTTCCACTACAGTACCTGCACCAAACTTGTTGTCACCGAGTCCAATTTGGCTCATAGCAACCCTTTAGGAAGGGAGCTCTGGTGGTGTAGCCCCTAAGTCATTTGACTGCAAACCTTCCTCAGAAGAAAGGTTGAGCAATCTACTTCTGTAGTGATACCGCCTCAAAAACCCAGGGAGGAGTTGCTATGAGTCGGGTCCAACTCCACAGCAGTAAGTTTGGTTTTTGGTTTAACCCTTTAGGACAGAGTAGAATTGCTCCATAGGGTCTCCAAGGCTGTCAGTCTTTACAGAAGCAAAGCCCAAACCAAAGCCACTACCTTCGAGCCAATTCTGACTCACAGTGCCCCTAGAGAACAAACTAGAACTGCCCCATAGGGTTTCCAAGGCCATAGTCCTTCAAGCCTTGAGTTGCAATATTGAAGATTCTATGGGCAAAATATTGAATGATGCCAGAAACATCAAAAGAAGATACAAGGAATACACAGTTACTGTACCAAAAAGAATTGG